AAAGGCGGTCACATTGTAAACCTTGCGGACGCCATCTTCACGAATGACCATCCAGCAATCCTCCGCTGTATTGTGTGGTGCGACATCCTCCAACGTAAATTCTTGGGCTGCGGCGGCCGGTGCTGGCGACTCACAAGTATCATCGGTCTCAGCCATTGGTGCGGCTTAGTTTATATATATATATATCTGTAGGCTAAATTTGACTCCAAATTATATTATTTTTTGCGATATGACATGCTTAGAAGTTAGAATAAGACGTTTGATTGGTGGTAAAAGGATTAAAAAACCCAGCATAATCGATTTTGCGTATAACAAAAGATCTTAAAAAAATATAAGTTTTACGCTCATTTTTTAATTGTATTAATGTGATTGAAGCTTTGGCGCGTTTAAGCTATGCAAACCCACGCAAATCACGTGTACAATGGACGAGCATGATGGCGAGGACAGCATCTTTAATCTCATTTTCCCCTGTCGGAAGAATAGGTGATGACGCCTTAGTGATGCACCTACATTCGTTTGCTTCGGAGAATCGTTGATTATGCTTGGTAATGGAACCTTGCAGATTTGCATGCCGTCATTTTTTGTATCATTCAAAGTTATGCAATACGTGTAGACAGTTATGACTCATATTCTACTCTACGCGTGAACTGAACAGCGCATTACGCTTCGTTCGATCTGATCGGAATGAGCCTAACATTTACTTAAGCTTTGACATTGTAGAATAAAGTGAGTGAATTAGATAGTTCGATAAATTTACTTCTCTCTTCTCGCACAACGGCAGATCTAAAACTGTCGGTGCATCTCAAGAGGATTGGCAATACGTTCGTAGTGGTCATTCAGTGCATTGCTCTGCCAAATTTACTTCACGTAATATTTTTGTTGGATCCCGAAAATTGAGAAAAAAAAAGATTTGAACGTAAGAAACTTTATCATAGCTAACATGCGAGATTGTCTCTTGCTGTGTGCAAGCTTAATTCTACTCGGCATTTTTCATTCTGCAGCTTTGCATTACCACCCCGTGACCGCTACAGCACCTCCGCTATCTTCTCGATTCGCGACCAATGGCAGCCCAGACAAAATCGTGAATGTCATCATAGCAGGTGCCACTGGAGACTTGGCTACAAAATATTTATGGGTTTCGATGTTTCGCTTAGCGTTAAAAAGCGAAATTCTCTCCCAACGCACCTTCCGATTCTTTGCAGGTGCTACACATTCCACAAGGCAAGGAACAGCTCGGCTCGAAAAGTTTTTCAACGGTGAATTCGCTAATCGAGTATGCAAAGGTTTCGAGGAGCCGATGTCAGTTCCGCAGACCAAATGTCGTGAGTTCTTGGACAATAAATTTAAACAGTCTGTTCAGTATGCACCGTTGGTGACGGAAAAACATTACCAAACATTGGGAAGGAACTTGGTGAAAATCAATGATAATGCAATCGAGGATGGGAGGATTGTATATCTAGCCATTCCCCCCCATTTCTTCCTTAAGGTTGGCTCTTGTAATTGATTTTTGACGCGCTGCTGACTGCTTTTCTGTACTTTTTGTCAAGAGCTGTGAGCTGATTCATCGCTACTTGAGACCGCAGCAACTGCAAACTGAAGCTGCTTCATTCTTGCGAATTGTGGTGGAAAAACCATTCGGACGAGATTTTCAATCGGCTCATGAACTTGCTACGCACTTACGCAAAATCTACGGTGTACGTATTACAAGCAGGAGACTATGCTATGATAACAATGTCTCATTAATTTTGCTGTTTGTAAACTTTAGAAAGATGAGCTGTATGTGATGGATCACTATGCCGGCAAGCCCGTTGTTCACGCTCTTCGCGATTACTTTCAACTTAACGCCGCTGCCCTGCATCCTGTATGGAACTCTGAGTTTATAGATGACATACACGTAAGTGATATATATTCAAGGCATTTGTCGATTATGCGTGCTTGAAAATGCTTACTGTTTGATTTATCACATGTACGACAGATTGAGATGCTGGAAACAGCAACGTTGGAGAATCGCGTGCATTATTTTGATAGGTATGACTATTTTCTGGAGCATTACAGTATATGCTTTTTCAGTGGCAAATTGTTGATTCAGTGCTGGAATCATTCGCGATATTGTGGTCAACCACTTGCAATTGCTCCTAAATATTGCGATATCACCATCATTTGATAAGCCACTTTCAATCAGTAAAGCTGCTCAGAAACGTCATGAGAGCCAATTGCGTTTTATCAAGGCACTAAGACCCTCGTGGCAGCAAAACACTCTATTTGTCGCTAAGTATGACGAGTACTCTTCACACTACGATGCTGAAAGGAGTTCTCCTTGCAATGAAAGTGATCATTTTACACCCACAGCTGTTTCAATCAAGCTCAGAAGCGCATTAAAGCAATGGAGAAACACAACTTTTTCCTTTACTGCAGCCAAGGCTACGAATGAACGTCTTCTATACATGAACATTAAATTTAAAGCTGGAACGTTTTCAAACGAACTAGCTCGTCAATGTACTCTCACTGTTACTATTCAGCGTGCTCATAATGCCGACTGCAGCCAAAGTCATCGAATCGAATGGTCTTGCAACGTCAGTAAAATCTTTCCAGACCTCCTGCCCCCAAGTGGATGGAAGTTCTTAGACACTGACAATGACCGTATCATCACTCCCGTGAAGATCCCTATGGAAAACACTGCTGCATGGGAGCTTGGAGATGAAATTTCAGCGTACGATTTCTTGCTGTCAGAAGTGGCGAATGGCGCACTTGAGCATTTTGCAAATCTTGATGAGGTTGAAGCGGCTTGGAAGTTGTGGACTCCAGTGGTGAACGCCGTTGAAAACATCAAACACGAGTCTATCGGTGAGACCAATGACAGTCGATTGTACTATTCGCATTATCCGATTGGAACATCACCTTGGAAGCATTATCGCCAGACGTCAAGCACTAGATCGCAATTTGTCAAAGAAGATTTATAAAATGGAGTAATACAGAACATTTATTGACGTTCATTGATTTCTAGTGACAGATAACATAGAGCTCTTTACATTCATAATGCGTCATTTAGCTATTTTTTCTTTTATGCACTCAATGTGCCAATTGCAACTGCAGTGATGACAAACGTGAGCGCTAAGAAGCCGCTAGCGAATGGAATGGAGCTCACAATTGGCTCTGTATATTCAGTCGTTGCTGCGCTTGGGAATCCCCACACTTGCTGGCAGTAGCGACTTCCAATAACTTGAAACCAGCAAGGAATGGTCAGCCCGAGTAAGAAACCAAACAATCCTGCGATGGAGAAAATGAAGTCCAGACGCTTGAACACTACAGCAAATAAAATGGGCGGCGCTGCAACCAATAGTCGGCACAAGCTTCGTGTAAATTTACGTCCAAAACGCTCAGTGAGATGCGACGGAAATGACATGAGCATATTATCACCCACGGTTACACCGACCATCGGGTACGCCGATACGACATTTATCACCGGAAAAAGCAGAATGACAAGTTGCACAATAAGACCTAGCGGATTGAAATACTCACACTCTTCCCATCCGTTGCCACATCCAGTGTAAGAACTCCACATGAGTGTTGCAAGTGGATTTATCGTGTCGAATGAGAGCGCACCAAGAAGACCCACAAGAAGATAACAAGTCCCAGCAAGCAGAAGTGCAGCAAACGCCACAAAGCGTACTGAAGATTTCGGATTTAACGGCTGCAGCGCGTCTGGCATATTGTACTGGCAATTAAGTGCCAGCAATGTTGGTCCAAAGGCCTTGCCAAAGTTTCTCCAGTTCACAGGTCCAATTAGAGTGTAACGAGAAGCCACAACATCACTCCCATCACTAGTCACTTTGACTGTCATGGTCACTAACATGAGTGCAAAGGCCACGACACGATACACAGATAGAAACTTTTGTACCAGCGCTTGATCACTGATGTCCATAAGCACCATGGATAGTACAAGGACAGAAAATATAGCCATAAAAACGTAGTATCCGTTCAAGCAGCCAGCAGACGGATCGACACCGTACACATCACAGGACTCATTCAATACATAATTAAAGAAAATTGAAGCAGTAGACGATGAAAAGACGGAAGCGTAGGACCAAAGTGAGCCGATACAATACAAACCCATGACGAGCTGGACCGCGACTTTGCCCATATTTCCCACAAACATCTCGGCAATGGTAGCAAACTCGAATTTACGATACGTGATCTGATGTTTTGGCGCAACTCCGTTTGTGGCTGCGCACACTCCTTCGGCACGAGCGAGCGACTCAAGAGTGTAATTCATTGTGATCATTGAGCCTAAAACGCCTACGATCATTAGTGTGAATGCGAGAAAGATGCCGCCCTCCATGAAAGCGTAAGGAAGACCGAAACAACCAGTGCCAATTACGTAATTTAGCGCCATAGCTAGTGTTACACCAGGTCCATAGGGTTTAATCGACGTACTACCATCCTCGCAGAGGTCGCTGTGTATCAACAGATGTGTGTGCTCGGTGGTGGCCATGAGTTTGAGTAAGGATCTAAAATCACTATTTACTAATTCAATCGATAAGATTGTAACACATAAATGTAAGAAGCAAAAATTGGGTCAATATTTCAGTGTGAAAGATATACCAAGTTGGCAGTTGTTAGGATGCAAATTATCTAGTGTAAAACATGACCACATACATATTTGGTGAGAAACTCCGTTTTTTCTACGTTATCGAAATAAAATAAATAGAGCGGGACATTAGAAATTGAGCTTTTCAAGGAGTTTGTAGATGTTGCACTTGTAGGAGAGGAGATAAAAGCATGATTAATTATTTGCATTATCATATCTACGTATGCATTAGGCGTGCACCCGCGACAAAGGAAGCTTCGACTCAAGTTACGACGCAAAGAAGATAGATTTGAAACCTTTCATCGAAGCGAAACCGAGAGCCTCTATAGAAATGAAGTGTTTAGCTTGCTTTTAAATTAAAGTCATCAACTTCTCATATCACTCCATTCACTCACACTGCCTTGGAATAGCGACAGTGG